AGTAATGTATAAGTAAATACCATATATATGTATATATATATATATATATACTTACTGAGAAGAGGAACAAGTTTACTGTTTCCTGAGCTGTGCTAGGACCTGCTGAAAAGTGAATGTTTATTTCATGGATGTTTGAGAGAAAGAAAGTGATCACAAAGACTTGGGGTTAAAGAAATGGTATCAATAAATTAAAATGAATTCAGTGAATACTGTAGAAACTCCAAAGAGCATTTTACAAGTTGAAGAGGGTACAGTACCAATTATACCATTATCTCACCCTACACTCAGGGTGAATAGTCTGAAAGCCTGAAATTACACTTGATGCTAGATTTCTTGGCTTCATTTGCAAATTGGAGTCATTTTCTCTTTCCTTTTTTTTTCATGTGTGAATGCCATAAACACATGTTATATTGTTTAACAGTAGCAGACCTTATAGTTTGTTATGATATTTTTCTCCCCCATGGCAGAGGCTTTTTTTTTTCTTTCTTTCACTTTCTTTTTCTTTTAAATTCAGATTGCTACAATTCAGCAGCACTGCATTTCTAAAGGATTTTGCCCTGGTCCTAAGTACCTTTTGAGCTTAGGCTGTTTTGGCATGCCATTCTTTAGAAGACCAATTCTGGATAAGGCCCTTCAACTGTCCAGATGTGCCATTTTGGAACAGATTGAGAGCCTGCCAAAACACCATTTGTTGCCGGTACCGGATATTGTCGGGTTGCTCATCACCCTGTTACTATATTTTTGCACTCCTTAACATTGCATAAACAGGCAGCTGTTCAGTATTTAGAATATAAATGAATCACCAGCTCACTCCCTTGAGAATTTACCTGCAAGAGGGAACCTCAGTGTTAACCCCTTCTCATCGCCTGAAAAACACATCTAAATGCATACTTCTCTCAGCCCATTCAGACGCATACCCTATGCATATAAATCACACCTTTCTTGCCAGTTAGACAAGGCAAAGGGACCAAAAATGTGCAGTTCACAGTACTAAAATGGAACACATTTCCTTAGCAGCTAAAGCAGTAAATTAATCAGCTTATAAACTGAAAGGGAACAATTTGTGCTGAATTCTTTCTTACTGCTCCTTCAATGCAAGACAAGGTTCTCTAATCTCCTAAAGGGCCATGACTTCATTAAGATGGAATACCGTGTTAAAGGATATGTTGCAAAATGCAAGAAAAGAAAAGCTTTGAACGTCACTCAGTTGTCTCTCTGGAGCTGTTTTCTGGACAGGGATTTTTATTTATTTGGAGAATGACAATTAACCTAGAGACTTGGAACAACAAAGAAGCAGAGTATGGAAGTGGGTCTCATTACAGGACACAGAGGCAGTTGGTTTGACCTAATCCCCATTTGCAGCAGATGATTTGCATAAGAGGCTAGCACAAGCTGCCTATTTTGATTTCAAACAGCTTGACCAATTACACACACACACACACACACACACACACACACACATTGTTACCCGCCTTCTATTTGGACCCAATTCATGGTGACCAAATGCTGCAGGATCCTGGGCCATCTCCATGATCTGTTGCAGATTGAATGAATGTGATTCACTGAATTTTCATTGGCTGATTTCCAGGAGTAGATGACCAGGCCTTTCTTCCTAGTCTGTTTTAGTCTGGAAGTGCCACTGAGACTTGTTCAGCATCATAGCAACATGCAGTCCTCCATGGACAGACAAATAATGTCTGAGCATGAAGTACATTAGCTTAGACTAGAACCTGGGTCTCCCACATGGGAGGTAAAGATTCTATCACTGAAATACCAGTGTTCACATATAGGTGCCATTGAGTCATTTTGGATTCTTAGTGACTGTATGTGTAAGAGAACTGTCTCACAGGGTTTTCTTCCCTGTAATCTTTATGGAAGGAGCCTGGTGGCCCTGTGGGTTAGGTGTTGAGCGGCTAATAGCATGGTTGGCCATTCAAACCTACAAGTCACTTTGCAGGAGAATGATGAAGCCGTTTGCTTCCATAAAGATTTAGAGTCTCAGAATTCCTATATGGGACTATTATTAGTCTTAATTGACTCGATGGCAGTGGGTTAATCTTTATGGAAGCAGATCACAAAGTTTTTCTCACATAAAGTCTATGGGTATGTTTACACTGTCAGTGTTTTGGTTAGAAGCCAAGCTTCTAACTGTTGTGCACATACCAAAACAATATTATTATTGTTGAACAGAACATGGGTACACTGAATGGTCTAAATTTAGGAAAGGTATGTGCCAGCATTGTATTCTTTCACCGTACTTATTCAACCTTTATGCTGAGCAAATAATCCATGAAGCTGGGTTATATGAAGGAAAATATGGCATCAGGGTTGGAGGAAGACTCATTAACAACTTGTGATGTGCAGATGATACATCCTTGGTTGTTGAAAGGAAAAGGACTTAAAATACTTACTGATGAAATCAAAGACCACAGCCTTCAGTATGGGTTGCACCTCAATATAAAGAAAACAAAAATCCTCACAATTGAATGATTAAATAACATCAGGCTAAATGGAGAAAATATTGAGGTTGTCAGAAACTTCATTTTGCTCAGATTCACTAACAGCACTCATGGAAGTAAGAGTCAAGAAATTAAATGACATATCTGTAAATATATAGGCAAATCTGCTACACAAGACCTCTCTAAAGTGCTAAAGAGCAATGATGTCAATTTGAGGACTAGGTATGCCTGACTTTAGTCATGGTATTTTCGATAGCTTCATATGCATATGAAAGTTGGACAATGAATAGGGAAGACTGTAAAAAAATTGATGTAATTGGGTTGTGGTATTTGAAAAGAGTATTAAAAATATGATAGACAAATCAATCTGTGTTGGAAAAAGCACAGCCAGAATGTTCTTGAAAGCTAGGATGGCCAGAGTTCATCTCTCTTACTTTGGACATGTTATCAGGAGGGACCAGTCCCTGGAGAAAGACATCATTCTTGGTAAAGTGAAGGGTCAGCAAAAAGGAGGAAGACTTCCAATGAAATGGATTGGCCCAGTGGCAGCAGCAATGTCTCAAAAGTGACAACAATCGTGAGGATGGTGTAGGACTGGGAAGTGTTTTGTTCTGTTGTGCATAAGGTTTCTGTGAATGGGAGCTAACTTGTCAGCTCCTAACAACAGCAACACACCAAAACCCAAACCCACTGCCATAGAGTTGATGGCATTAGCAACAGTGAATATATATGTTTGTGTACTTGTGTCTTGTTGTTGCTAAGTGCCATTGAGTCATTTCTGACCCATAGCAACCCTGTATAAGGTTTCCAAGGAGCAAGTGGTAAGCTTGAACTGCCTATCTTGTGGTTCAAACTGACCTTATGGTCCAGAGAATTGTCCTGCCACACCACACCAGGACTCTATATACATAGAGGACTTCTGGTGTGGCACTGTGGTTTAATGCGCTGGACTGCAAAGTCTGTTTGAATCGCAAATTAGTGATTCAAGCCCACCAGCCACTCCTTGGAAACCCTATACTGGGTTCCTGTGGGTCAGAATACAGCAGCAATAAGTATATATACATATACACATACTTCAAACATACATGTTCTTATTAAGAGCTGTCGAGTCCATTCCGACTCATAGGGACCCTGTGTAGGGTTTCCTGGGGAGCACAGTGGCTCCATGTAATAAGCACTGTAGTTCAAACCACAAGATCTGTGCTTTGAGCCTGCCAGCTGCTCCATGGGAGAAAGAGGGTGCTTTCTGCTCTTGCAAGCATTTAAAGCCTCAGAAAACCTATACAGGGTCGCTATGAGTCGGAACCGACTCCATGACACTTACAACAACAACAACAACAACACAGAACACAGGGTTTTATAGGAGCAGTTAGGGGGTTTGGATCATCAACCTAGTGGTTAGCAGTGTGGTCCTTTTCCTACAGCACCATACCAGGATTTACACGTATATATACATGCAAACTTAACGTTTCGTGTGTGCCTGTATTTTATCCCTGGGTACACTGTGAAAGCAAACTTGTCAGTGTTAGAATATCAAAGAATATGTAACACAGAGGTAGTTTGAATATATGGTACATTAACTGCTCTCGTTTACTTTTTTTTTTTTTTAATATTTACTCTAAAGTCTTTGTTTGCTTAATAAAACCAAGATTTTGTAATCTGATAAAGGCCTGGTTGCTTCTCCAGGGTTTTCATCTTGCCAGCAGCCAACATGCACAAGGAGATAGATAGGTGACATTTGGAGAGCTGGGCATGCCAGATTTTTGGAGGTTGCAATGGAGGTCCAACCTGCTGTTCTCTTAATGAAAGGAGGGGTAATTCAGACTGGCAAAACTGCTACAAGGGGTATCTCTGTTCAGAATGTCACGCTGCCCAGATGTCACCCGGCAGGTGGAGATGCAGGGAGAATGGAAATGTAGCCCTATGTATGTGGGTGCTCGTGCATTGCAAGGGTGAACAATGAGTCTATCTTCTGAAGTGTAATGAAAGCAGTGTGGTTCTTGTCCATATTCATGTCACGAGAAAGGGCTTTTTCAAAGAGTTCTCACCTCACCTCCCTTCACAGACTGACACACATGCATGCTCATAGACAATATTCTTGTCATATATTTCAGGATTTCAATATACCTTTAACAGTTATTTTCAAATATTTTTATAGTTATATGTATATAAGTTTTGTCCATTTAGAGACTAGAATCATACTACATAAACAGTTCTATGCCTTGTTTCTGAAGAATATCTATCCTTTATCATTAATATTTCTCATCTTATTTTCTTCAGACCAAATAACAATTGTTAAATAGGATTTCGGATCAAAGATGCAACATTATTTATATAGCCTGTTGAACATTCAGGAAGTCTCCAGAATGTTCTTAGAATTTCATAGTCACAGTAAATAGTCAGGCTTTTTTTTTTTTTTTTTTTTAATCAGACTAAAGTAAATCAAACTTGAAGTTATCTTTTGTAATATAAAGCTAACGTCATTGTTACTGAGGGTTTTTGTTTTTTGTGTTTTTTTTAATTATAATTCTTCTTCTTTAGTGCTACGAGATGACTTCCGGCAAAACCCCACAGATGTTGTTGTGGCAGCTGGAGAGCCTGCGATCCTAGAGTGCCAACCTCCCCGGGGACACCCAGAACCCACTATCTACTGGAAAAAAGACAAAGTTCGAATTGATGATAAAGAAGAAAGAATAAGTGTGAGTTAGATAAAAAGAGCGGGTCTTAAGATAGATGTACTTTATTTTTAAATTAATTATTAATAAAATATACAACTGTACTTACCAAATTACTGTTTATCAACCTATATCATTTATGCCATATTGAAAGGTGTTTAAAAGGGTAACTTATTATAAAAATGAAAGTTAAAAATGAGGTTTCAAAGAGACAAAGACATAGGCACGTGTATATTGATGCAATTATCAATTGTATATGATTATATTGATTATTATAAAATCTCTTCAAAGTATAATACGGATGTCACAGCTCTTTCTGTGAACTTCTCCAAAAGCAGCTATTGATTATTTAATTCATGAACATTAAACTGTAAATGAGGGTCATAAACCAGATTAACTAGAGCATTTCATTGGCCATTATTTTCAAAATTATGAAAGAAAATAATTTACGGTAATAATTATTTTAAGCAAGTTTTCCAGATTTTTCAATTAAATAATCCTTGTAGCAATAACATTTTATATATGGATTAATTAAAAATAAATTTAATAGATATAAAATAAAACCAAAGTAGAAAGACCTAGTTGATTCTACAATTTAGCCAGCAGAGAAACTGTCTATTTTTAATAGGAAATCAGTGATGAGTTTCATCACATGATTAAAATTCAAAATGAAACTCCTAGATACTGAGGAAGATGCAGATCTGGGCAATGGCACATAAAATTTTCATTTTATCAGAAGAGTTGCTCAAAATTTGTATGTAAAGTTTGTAAATGAGAACCAGTCCACTGAAATGGTATATAATGCCTCGAGCTTCTGATGTTATTTAATTATATGTTTTCTATTCAATATAATACTTGAGTTTGAATGTATTTTATGTAAAACAGTGTCACATTTGACTAAACAAACATATCATTACAATTCAAAGTTGGTATGGCCTAAAATCACCAGCCACTCCTTGGAAACCTTCTACAGCGTCACTGAGTCAGAACCACCTCGATGGCACTTAACACCACCACCACCACCTATAACAAAATGGCCTAAATGTCTAGTATCTTTAAAAATATATCACAAATGAGTAATTGCCACAGATGTACATTGTGATTATGACATGGTACAGAACCAGATGGTGCGTGTAAGAGACCACAACATGTACTCATGTGTCTCTGACTGCTAATATTGAGTATAGACATTAAAGAGAATTTGTTTTCTAATAATCTATACTTTGGTACTAAACTTATAAAAATATATTCCTGGTGTTGGAGTAAAATCAGTGTTCAAAGGTTCTAAGTTGACATTTGTAGTATTTAGCTTTAGCTTCATAACAAAGCATCCCAAATCATAACAGTTTATAAAATCCATTTTATTTAGACCACAGTTTTCTGGATCTGCTAGACAGTTCTTGCAAGGACCAACTCAGCTGATTTCTGCTTCTATAGTCCATTGAAATATGTGTTAGCAGCTAGAGAATTTAGACAAGATTTTCCTCTGGATTGTTCTAATGTACTAGGCTCTAACTGTAGGTTAGACATTTCAGTCCACCCCAGAGATGTCTCTGAATTAAGACCTCGAGATCTACTTCTGAAGAATCAGCTATTGAAACCTTGTGGGTCACAGTTCTACTCTGATACACATGGGGTTGACATGAGTTTTCACTCACATGTCCAATAATTAGCTTACTCTCAGCTGGGCATCTGGCTTTTCCTTTTTATGGACTCAAATTATCCAGCAGACTAGCTCAGTCTAGCTTTCCTATGGGGTCTCAGAGCTCCAATTGTGACATCTTGTGAGCAACTTTGTGTTGGTATAGTATTTTCTTTAGTCCTTTTTTCAAAGTAAGTCACATTGCCAAGTTTAGCTTCAAGGGTAGCTATTGGTTACTTTATAACCTACCATTACACTCTACTAGAAAAAAATAAGATCATGTTGACGGTCTTTTGCGTCAATGTTAAAAAAAAAAAGTTGAACATTCCTTTCTATCACATTACAGTTTTAGAGTATGAAATATCTCTGTTAAGATCAAGCACACATGACTTTTGTTTTCCTACGAAGATAAAAAAATATCAGAGGAAATTAGTAGGTATTTAACTGGTATCTCTTTAAGAATATCCAATCTCTGTAGTGTTATAGTTTTTGAATTGTATGAACACAGGAAAGATTGAGAAAGAAGCTGTGAATGATGATATATTTAAAAACAAGAGTCTAATTTTGCTTTAATGTTCTCTTTAGAAAATGGGAATTTTAGAATTTGTTTGTCAATATATGTCTTTAAGACACAGGTAAGGAGCACCTATTTAAAAAATAATTTGTCCCAATCCATGTTGTTGCTGTTGTTAAGTTGGTTCTGACTCATAATGACCCTGGATAGCAGGGATGGGGAACCTTTTTTCTGCCAACATTTATAACATCATTCATGGGCCATAAAAAATTATCAGCTTAAAAATGACCTGCCATATTTCGTCAAACATTTAATTAACTCACCTACAAGGCTGGCAGTTCAAACTCAACAGCAGCTCCCTGGAAACCTTTACAAGGTCAGTATGGGTCAGAACCAACTCGATGGCACTTAACAACAACAAATGTGATGTCTGGAACTGCAGCTGCTTCGGCAGTGCCAAACCAAATTATTTCCCCATCCTGATATGACCAGCTATGTACGGTTTCCAAGAAATAGCTGGTGGATTTTAACTGCCAATCTCACAGTTAGCAGTCCCCATGTTTATCCTACAGCACCACACCAGATCCCACAATGTTCGGAGTCCTGGTGTGGCACTGTGGGTTAATGCTCTGGATTGAAACATTGGTTTGAATGGCAAGGTTGGTGGTTCAAGCTCACTAACCACAGTCATAAACAGACTCAACTACATCTAACAGCATGCATATGTATGTTGTTGTTATTGTTAGGTGCCATAGAGTTGGTACTGACTCATAGCGACCCTATGCACAACAGAATGAAACATTATATATATAGTCCAGATATGATGCTGTTGGTGGTTCAAACCTACTAGTTGCTCCTTGAAAACCCTTTACAGGGGGCTATGAGTCAGAGTTGAGTGGACTCAATGGCACTTAACAACAACAACAACATATATTTAAATATGTATATATAGGACTTGGAGTCCTGGTGTGATGCTGTGAGTTAATGCACCAGACTGCAAAGCCTGGTTTTAACTGCAAGGTCAGTGGTTCAAGCTCACCAGCTGCTCCTCGGAAACAACTCAACAGCACTTAACAATAAGAATAACATATAAAACAGCAATGAAGCTGCAAGCTAAGCCCTACAACATTCAATAGACTCCTGTGAACCTGGGTAGAGACCTGGTCAGCCAGCAGTGTAGCAAGACCTGGGGACTCTTGGGCTCAGAGTTAGGGACATAGCCACAGAGGACTAGAGTGGAGAGTAAAACATCCAGCTGATAAAAAGAGAGGATATAGGCTTAAGAAAACCCACACTAGCAGATAATACCCACTTGGCCTGGCTTCAATGACTGGATGATCAGAGCTCAACTAGAAGAAGAAAGAAGAGGGAAAAAAAGAGTAATCTGATACAATTTGATGAACTTGACCTACACCTATGGATGCAGTAGCTCAAAAGAGGGAACAAATCTTTACAGGGAGGATCCCTGAGAGGATTCCCACCCCCTCCATACAGAGTAGACAGGGATGGGCAACTTGGACATTGGCTACCCAAAATGGGGGGTTGGGGGCTACAAAGGCAAGAAATGACTGATTTACAGCTTTCAAGAGGGAGCCTAGAAGTGGAGGAAGGTAGAATCTCCACTGAGTAGTATCCAATCTGTCTGGGCTGGGCTGATGAAATGAGCTGCGGATAGGTCTCTTGTGATAACAATAGTGACTAATTGTTATCAGAATTGATTGTGAGGGTTGGAAATGTAAAGGTAGATGTTTTGTAGCAAAAGGAGGGGAATGATTGACTTTGCAGTCTAGGAGCGGAGTTCCCTAGGACCATCAAGGGAGAAGAGCAGAGAGTGGGACCCTACCCAGAGAAGCAGTGACGCCTGAGATGGAGACAGAGGCAATGATGTGGAGAGATGGAGCAACCAGGGACTTTAGAACCAGAAAGGGAGAGGGGCTGTGTGCTGATGACTGGGGCAGAGGAGGCGGGGGGACAAGCGGGAGCAGGCTTGCAGGGTATACCCTTTGGTTGGTTGATGATGCATAGAGGGGATTGAAACCAAGGATGGCAATGAAACGATATACGATAGGATGAATGTAAAGCTAATGTTCTCCATGTAAACATTCACATAATTCACAATAAAACATTAACAATAAATAAATAAATAACATATAGGACTTCTGTTGTAGCACTGTGTTTTACTACAAATCACAAAGTCTTCAGTTCAAACCCACCACCTGCTCCTCAGAAACCCTGTAAGGGGTTGCTATGCATTGGAAGTAACTCTATGGCACTTGGCAACAACAACAACATATTTATATATGGAGTCCCTGTGTGGCACAGTGGGTTAATGTGCTGGACTCCAAGGTCAGTTTGAACCACAAAGCATCTCGGTGATTGAAGCTCACCAGCTGCTCCTTGGGACCCCTATACAGGGTCGCCACGACTCTGAACTGACTCAAAGGCATATAACAACAATAGCAATATTTATATATTGTTGTTAAGTGTTATCAAGCCAGTTCTGACTCATAGCAACCCGTATAGGGTTTCCAAGGCTTTTTAAAATTTTCCATAAGCAGAAATCTTTTCTTCTGCAGAACAACTGATGAGCTTGAACTGCTGACGTTTTTGTTCAGTCTGCCATTTCATTAAAAGCTCTCATAATACAATTAAGATGAGACAGAGATAATAATATTAAAAATTGAAATGTAAGTCCCATGAAGACTGATTTATAATATTTGGTTCATCACTGTAAACCAAGTGTCTAGAACACTGCCCACTCAACAGAGGTAGTCAGTAAATACTTGTTGCATCCCTTTGAGTCAGCTGGATTTCTCTATATTATCTACAGTAGCTCTGTAATGTTCCTTGCTGATGACAAATGCCAATTGTATTTCATTCAACAGAACCTCAGTGTGAAGAAAGACCATTAAGATTTAGTGGGAGAAGTGACAAGACTGGAAATAGGACTCAGCAAGGGAGAGGAAAGTAGTGTTAGAGAAACTTTACTTAGAAAGGGAATATGGAAGCTTGTACTGAGGTTACATTTAATAGAAGAAAGGACACATTTAGTTGCCAAAGTAGTGGAAAAGTTTTGTGTCTTAGACACTAAGGTATTTGCTTTGGGAAAGAAACCATAATATATAAATGTTCAAAATTATTTATTAATGCATTTTCTTTCTCTATTTTTTTGTTTTTATTTAATTTTTAACAGATTCGTGGTGGGAAGCTGATGATCTCCAATACCAGGAAAAGTGATGCCGGGATGTATACTTGTGTTGGCACCAATATGGTGGGAGAAAGAGACAGTGACCCAGCTGAGCTAACTGTCTTTGGTAAAATTCTCTTTAAGTTATACATTGCTTTTAGTCTTTCTTTGATTTGAAATATTAAAGGCAAATGCTTATTTTATATATGTTGTTAAGTGCTATTGAGTTTGTTCTGACTCATAGCAACCTGTATAGAACTTGCAAGTCTGTAAATCTTTAAAGCAGCAGAAAGCCTCAACTTTCTCCCATGGAGCACCTGGTGAACTATAACCATACAGCTTGTGGTTCACAGTTCAGTGTTTATCACACAGAGTCACTGTGCTCCCCTGGGCCACAAGGGTGAGTTCCTTTCCAGACCTAAAGGGTAATTAAGGGCATAGTTTTGAGTTCCTCAAGTCTATTTATGACCAGTAAACCCAGTCTTTTTTTTTTTTTTATTACCTTGATTTTTATTCTACATTTTCTCCTACTCTATCCCTCTAACACGATCTCTTTCAGAGTTGTAGGTAGTGGTGGCCAGGCACCATCTAGTTCTTCTGGTCTCACAGTCATGAAGACTGGTGTTCACATGTTCCATTAGTTCATTGAACTAATTGATCCCAAACCACTTCAATTCTTATGACTCTTCTTTCTTCTGCACATGGAGAGACCAATAGCTGCACCTTAAATGGCCGCTCATGACTTTTCAAGATCCCAAACAATATATGTTGTCATTAAGTGCTGTCAAGTCAGCCCTGACTCATTCGTTGTTATTGTTGTTAGTGCCATCGAGTCAGTTTCAATGCCTAGCGACACTATGTAAGGTTTCAGAGGAGTGACTGGTGAGTTTGAACCACCGACCTTGCAGTTCAAACAGACCTATGCTGCCACATCCGGACTCCAAATCTTTCTATATATAATAAACAATTTTATCTCCTTATCTCTTAATAAAGCATTTCAATATCACTGATATTATGTGGTTGTTGTATGTGTATATGTATTTAATGCAAGAGGTCATTATAATTTTCAAAATGCTTCTCTGTGTTCATAAGGCAATCTTCAGATTCTGTGAATGATAAGAAAAGATCCATATTTCTTGTCCTTTCTCTGGACATCCAAGTGTAGCCTCAATTCCTACACTGGCCCCAAAAGAAATATCTTCTGCATTTTGGGATACACTATCACATTTCATAATGAGAATGCCAAGATGGAAAAGAGCCATATTATAATTTCCATTACATTCAGAGAGTTAAGATTGTGCTTTATGAATATGTACCAGAGTGCAGGCCTTTCTTTTCAATCAGCCTGAGTACTGAGTAATCTCTAGTAATACTCCCTGTGGATACTAAGCAGCTTGAAGTTCCAAATGACAAAGCCAGGAGAAATCCTATAATTTGTTAAATGAATTGAATAGTAAAAATAAAAAAAATTCAAAATGTGTATGTAAATTTCTGTCATACAGAGTTCAAACACATTTGCCCTTAAATTTCATCCAGTCATCTATAAGAGTCTCAAAATGTGCTTCACTCTGTAATGAATAAAATACAGTTTTGCCTGATAAGGTGAAATTAGTGGTCATCGAACATTATCATTGAAAGCCCACAAGTACAACTGTTCTATTTAAAGAAATATTTATCTCGATTTTCCTGTAATTATCACAAGCTCTGGAATCAGAAAATGCTATGTTACAGTAGTATATATTGCCTTCAGAAAGAAATGGAAAGAGTTTAATGTCTATACCCAAGCCATTAAACTTACAATATTGTGACTGCTTTCTGAAACATTTAACCAGCATTTTCTAAAGATATGAGAAGAACTACAGGAGATTCTTAGAACTGTGAAGCATTACCTAGAAACTTCCAGATTATTTTGAAAATAGTTGGAAACAAAAGAGATTGAATTTGTCTAGAAACAGTTCCTCTGGAGAAATGTCACAAGAAGCTGAGAAGCATTTATCTGACTGTGTAAAATTAGTCAGAACTGACCTGAGGGGTTTTACGTATAATATTAAATCAAAGGAAAAACTAAAAATTGATGAAGAAACAAAAAATAAAAGCCAAATTAAAACTAAAAAACAGTATTGGTGGTCTAAATCAAGGTTGTAACAAAAGTCTGTGAGAGCAGAGACTTCTTATTTATCTTGATGCCCCTATTATTAGAGAGCATAATATTTATTTTGAGGCCCACCTTATTTTATTTTGGAACTGTTGCTTTAGCACATGTCTTTTAATGAAGCACTTTTTTATTTCTTGTTTATATATTGTAATTTATATACAATCTTTACAAAAGTAAAATTGGTTACATTGCACTCCAAGCTTCATTCGTTTTATTTTTACGTAGTGGAAATCCCATTCTTAAGAATCTGTTCATGTAGCCACTCTTCGCTACAGGGGATTTAAAAATATTCATTGTAATTCAATCCTTCCTTAAAATATGTTATTCAAAAAAAGTAACTGATGATATTTAATTGTTCAAGACATGTCAAGGAAAACATAAAAGGAATAACAGATTTTTCCCATATAAAAGCCACCACTGTCTGAGACATATTGCTAGAGAAAATAGTTTCCCGCTATTCTTTAAAGATTTTGATTCTCTACAAAATGGCTCAAAAGTTTCTTACTTTGAAAAATGGCAATTTATATTTTTAAAAATCTTGAGGGTTTCTTCAAACAGCAAAAAAAAAAAAAAATTTGTTCTTCATTCACATTTAAATGCTTATTAAAAAGACCATTGAAAACTATCTGGTGATCAGACTAGGAACTGGATATTTTATTGGGATTGAGGACACAGATTAAGGCTGGTGTAATGAGGTTCTCCAAGTGGTGTCTGACTTCCGGCTTCACAAATGGGGACGAGAATCAAACTCAACATCAGTTTAAGGCAGATTCCTATGAGGCAGAGGTCAGATAGGCCTCCAACCTTTTTACCAGTTCTGGCATCAGCAGTTCCTCCCACGGAACTCTTTAATTCTCAGATGGATTCAATTATTTATTGAAATGGTCACATTTGTTGTTGTTATGTGCCGTGGAGTCGGTTCTGATTTATAGCGACCCTGCACAGGGTTTCCGAGGCTGTAAATCTTTACGGGAGAAGAAAGCCTCCTCTTTCTTTCGCGGAACAGCTGGTAGTTTCGAACTGCTGACCATGAGATTAGCAGCCCGATTTGTAACCACTACACTGCCAGAGAAGTCAGCTATTACTCACAATTATTGAGTTTATTAGGGAAGTTAACAGTTTACAATTCAGGATTAGAAATGCTCAGGATACAGTTTCTTGACTCGGAGAGCCATTTCCTAGCCGTACCTGCAGGCAGGCCTTTTTCTGATAAGTCTCTCAGCTAGATAGCCTCTTGGCCTCTGTTACAAAGCTCTTTTAGGGCTACTGACAAATGCCCAAAGACCGTTCAACTGCTCAGTAAACCTCAGCCCCAAGTGCTTGTCTCTAGTTCTGTGGGTCAGCAAAACTAGCTCCCCGGATTAAATATCTTCAGTCATCCTACTCCACAAACATACTTCTTATCTGAAGACATTCAGCTTTACTTGTTCTGTGAGCTGGAAAACCCACAGCTCTATATTTTTCCTTTGCCTTTTAAGAGGTTCTGCTGCTGCCTCTCCTCTGCCACTTCTCTGGTATTATAACTCTGTGTCCTTGGTCAAGGAGGTTCAATGTGCAGGGATATCAGGGTCCAAAGGATGCTACCCCATTCCTGGTTCTTCTTTCTTATTGTAGCAAGTTGTCCCTCCCCTCCCCCAAACCCCTTCTGAGGCTGACATGGCTCATTTTATATCTAGCTGATGACAAAACTGACCAATTATCTTATTAGATTTGCAAGTTTTTACTATCATAATTAACCCTGTTAAAAATCACAATTGACTCTAATAATCCTTTTAGCATATTTCCCCACCTTCTCTTACTCCGACTTATCAGGGAAAAAAAAATCTTTGCTTGGTGGGAGTGACAAAGACTATGGCTAGAAGAGCCTTATGAAATCATTGACTGAATCACGGCTGGTGATATGCATTTCCAATCATTGAATGGCATATAGTATTTGATGACCTGACTATTTGATTAGATGTTGTTGTTGTTAAGTGCCATTAAATTGGTTCAGACTCAGAACAACACAAGGAGTGACTGGTGGGTTTGAACTGCCAATCTTGTGATTAGCAGGCCAGTGCTTATCCAACAGCATCATACAAGGACTCCATAATTAAGACACTCAGACATAAAGGTGTAAGAGAAGATAATTCAGAATCAAACCTTGATTAATTATCTGTGGCCTTCATATAAGACAACACAGCACTATAAAAAACAAAATGCTATTGAAATTAAGATGGGTATTTGAGAAAAATAATCATTTTAAGTAATGTTTACTTGCTATCTTTAAAACAAAAAATATCTTATCCATTAATTCATTCAACAAAATTTATTAATCACCTACTATGTGCTAGGTCCTGGAGTCCTGGTGTGGCGCTGTGGGTTAATGTGTCAGACTGCAAAGCCGTTTGAACTGCAAGGTTGCAGTTCAAGCTCACCAACTGCTCCTCAGAAACCCTATACAGGGTCGTTATAGGTTGCAACCTACTCAATGGCACTTTACAACAACATGTGCTTTAATATGCTGGTGAGCTTCATAAATAGGGCCCCTGTTTTCAGAGGGCTATCCTATCACTTTGTCGCCAGTAACATGAAACTTTACCTCTTAAATCTGGTGAGTGTGACCTTTTTCCCAAACATTTACCTCTTAGCTTCACAAGATGATTTTTCTCCAAGTGGAAAATTCTTGGCAAGACAATAAATTAATGCAGTCAAGAATTATTTAATCACATTCAGATGACCTGATCATGCTCATTCACACATTTTGGAAGGGTACAAAAGTGCAAAAAATCTTTTCCCTTTAGCTTTATAGTTCCCTCCCCGTCTAATGACCAGTTAAGTAAATGGAGCCATACTAGGGCTAGCCTTCTGACTTTCCAATGTAATAAAGACTAGAGTATGGCAGGAACTTCAGGGTCATCTGAAGTCAACATAAGATTTATAAGCAATGGTTAACTCTAATGGTCTTGTTTTGCGTAGCTTTGTTCTTACAG